AGAGGTCCTTCCCGATCCTGACAGAGCTTTTGGTATTGCTCAAATTCAGTTGCACGGCCGTATCAGTTTTTCGACAGTGGGCTTTAATCTTTTACACAATAAGCTCGATAGTACTTTGTATGCGATGTTGTGTAGGCTTATCCCACGACTCGATATATATTACGCCTGCATATTTTAAGCTAATGAAAAATACAACACTATTAGAAAGGCCAGGAGCCCCTACCAAAGGCCAAATATAAGATTTCGTTCAGATTTGCTTTCGCTCATCTCTTACCGCTTGGGCCCACCTAACTCTGTTGGTTTCATAAAAAGCTATTTAAATTTTAGGAAAATAATTTATTTTTTCTCTGCTATTGAAAACTATCTTTGGGATCTCTTTCGAGATATTTCAGCATCAACTGGCAGAAAAAACAACTGAAGATGAATGGGCGAATGCAAAGGAATACAAGGAAATACCAGGACCTTCTAGTATCGGACTAATGATGGACTTCATGCCAGGCGGTAAAATTTAACAAAAGTGTAATAAATATATGAAAATAGTTACATGTATGTATATTATTTCTTCGATAGGTAAATTGTATGGCGCGAATTTTTTGAAAATGTATAACACACTACGCCAACGTCATGGTGACATTTTCGTCATAAGTGGTTCATTTGGACGTTCCGATCTGATTTGCACTTACAACCCAATCGATTTTGAAAAAGTATTTCGAACTGAAGGTGTTTGGCCAATACGCAAGGGCATTGAGAGCATCAGATATTATAGAGAGGTAGAAAATCCGGATGCCTACGGCGGTGTTTTTGGTCTAGTGGGGGAGTATGTACCAATGCGAAATTTATATGGTTGCTAATAACAATTTGTTAAATAATCAAGGCAAGGCGAGCGCTGGTTCAATATACGTCAGAAGGTCAATCCCATAATGATGAAGATACAAAACATACGTGAGGTATTACCGGAAATTGACACAATTTCAATGGAGTTTGTGGACAAGTGAGTTCCAAGTATTATATTGTTTGTAAAAAAAAAAAAAAATACTTCTCGTTAATTTATTTCCATAGAATCACCGACATGCGTGACACTGAGACCGGCCTGCTCAACACAGACTTGCTCACGGAGCTGCGCATGTGGTCATTTGAGTCCATCTGCTATGTAACGCTCAACTCGCGTCTACATCTCATCACCGGCAAGGCTGATGCAGCTGCATTGCGCATGTCTGACGCCATGTCGGAGTTTATGCAGTACACTTACGATCACGATATAGCGCCTTCAATCTGGCGTTACTATCAAACGTCCAGTTTCAAGCGTCTTATGCGCTTACACGATGAACTCACGGAGATTACAAGAAAGTTTGTGGATACAGCGCTGCAGCGCATCGAAGCAGATGACAATAAAGCGGCGAGGAAATCTGTGTTTGAGAAACTTTTAAGTCTCGATAGGAATATAGCGGTGGTGATGGCGATCGATATGTTGTTTGGCGGCTTGGACACGGTAAGATTAATTGTCGCTTAGTGAGATTTTTCAATATTTTGATTCTGTTTTAATTTTTAGACATCCTCCACAGTCATAACTGCGCTATATTTTCTGGCAAAAAATCCAGATAAACAAGATATTTTACGTGAGGAGCTAAGAACACTACTACCGCATCACAAGTCACCACTGAATGCTCAAAATTACAACAACTTACCCTATCTGCGTGCCTGCATTAAAGAGTCGATGCGCATAATGCCCATCGTCTCGGGTACTATGCGTCAAACTGGTCGTGATCTGGTGCTCTCCGGCTATAAGGTGCCGAAGGGTACCGCCGTGCACATGCGAAATATGGAACTCTGCAATTCGGAGATGTTCTTTCCACGCTGCAATGAATATCTACCGGAGCGTTGGTTGAAAACGCCCAAAAATGTCTCGAATCCTGTTGAAGAGGTTAAATCGCAGAATCCATTCGTTTATTTGCCTTTCGGTTTTGGACCGCGTACATGCATTGGTAAACGTTTAGCCGATTTGGAAATGGAAGTGCTGTTGGCACGCTTGTTACGTAAATATAAAATCTCCTGGACCGATGAGCAAAATGAAATGCAATATAAGAGTAATCTAATTCTAACGCCTTGCGGGGAAATGAAATTTAAATTTGAGGAGGTGCAGTAGTTGATATTATTATTAGATCTGAAGTGTGCATATTTTAAAGATCATACATAGATACATGTAAAAAGGTAGGACTTTAATTAAATATTTTGCAAAATGCCTTATTCATTTACTTATTAGCAAAGAACACCGCCAGGCAGAATATGTTTATTACTTTCCTGTAAACATTACCTATACTCTTCGGCAATCTTTCTAAAAGAAACAGATACAATTCACAATTATAAATATTGGGTAGTCGAAAAAGTTCCATACAATACAATAAAATAGGCTCCTGCGCCAATACAAGCAATCTAGCACTTAATCGAATTTTCACTTACTCTTTACTTTTTATATCCTTCGTTTGGAATGATCTTCAGTGCCTTCAGGGAATTTTTGTTTTTTTGGCTTCGGATGGTTTCTTTTTCTTTTTTTTTTTGTTTTGTTTTTTTTTTTTTTTTTTGAGCGCCATTCACTACATTGTTGGACAACGGGTTATGTTATACTAATAAACCCACGTCTCTTCGCCAGTAATAGTGCATTGAATGACACTCGCATGAGGCAAGTTTTCGATGATCTCATGAATTTGACTGAATGCTCTGGTCTATATGTATTTATAAAAATCACTACAACATTTTTAACGATTTTGTAGCCATGGTTGTATCAATATATTGTCGCCAAGTCAACCCGTGTACAGATATCACGAACCAATTGAAATACAGGGTTTTCCAATAAAAATTATATGATTCCTTAAAAAAAGAAAACACACTAATTGTTAAGGAAGCTCAAGTGATTTTTATTTAGTGCGAAAAACAAACGATAGAATTGAGTTCTGAATATAAAATTATATAAAGCAAGTCGTATATCATGTATAGCATAATAGCATGTTCAATATTGACGTCTTAAGCTTGAAGAGAATTTGGCTTATTGCTAAAAGGCAATGGCTTCAAATAATTCCAGAAAAAGTAGTTTAATGGTATTAAATCACAACTTTCTGAAGCCCAATCAATGTCACAATTTCTTGAATAAACTGAATCTCCAAAGTTTTCTCGCAATGCATTTGTTGGAACTAGTCGTTGTCATCGATCTATAGCGCTCTCCATTGACAATAAGGGTATGTTTCCACCAGACTAATAACTACATCAAACTGTCAATTTAGGTGAATGTAATGTTCGTTCATGAATAACTTATGGGTTTTCTTCACAGCAGAATCGACAGTTTTATTTATTAACCGCAATATTTATATGAAAATGAGACTCATCGAAAAATATGATTTTCTTAATAAAATTGTTATCGTTTTCAAGTTGTTTCGTGGCAAAATAAGCAAATTCCCGACGTTGTACTGTGGCTTCAGTTTTTGAGTGAGAACAATTTGATACAAGTTCAAGCCCGAATCCTTTCTCAAAATATACCGGGTTGTGGTTCGAGACAGTCCCAATTCTTGAGAACGTATTGGAATCGACAAATTGTTGTCTTCAGCAATTCTTGCCTGAATGCAGCAATAGTTTCATTACTTCGAACGGCTCTTTGTTTTGTTGGCACTTGATTATTATAATAAAGAAAATACACCCGGTATAATTAGAAACTTATTTTTTATTTTATTTTTTTTTTTATTTTAACGACACTGACTAAATTACTAAAATTAGTTTGATAAGATCAAATATCAAAGTCAGTGCCTCTCAGTAAGTATTTTATTAACTTATATCAGAGAAATGACGGCACTTAATATGTGAAGTATTGCTCCTTAAGTAACATGCTCTCGACATGCAATTAAATATCATTTGGAGTTGCCTAACAACAAAAAAATGGTGTTTCCATTTCTCGTTACACTTCAAGAAAAGTGCAACAAATAGCGAAGAACGCCCACTCAAGAAGTTAATTGAAATTTAACGTATTTCTTATCAAACTTCAACTTATTTTTTGTATTTATAATAATAAATAAATAAAGAAATATGTACCATTTTGGTGGAACAATTTTTGCCATTTTTCCGCTAGAACGGAAACGAGCGAAACTTTGTTGTGCTACACAAACGGATACAGCATCGTCTTCGAATTGTGAATTTCTTCATTATTTTCACTCATTTTTGAACAGCTGTAACTTTTTTTTAAACTTCGTGTTGTTCGGATAGACGTAAACACTCCAGCTTTGAAGCTTTTCTATTCAGTACCCACTGGTGAAAGCAGGGAAAGAGGAGTACCTCCACACCGTTGGAAAGAGCAGGTGGAGAAGAACCTGGCTGTACTCGATATCTTGAATTGACATCAAATAGTGAAGGGAAGAAACGTCATGCTGTTGGCTAGGCTATAACATCATAATTTTCTACTATTCTAAATGTACATATTTTATAAATATTTTGTGAAATTTTCAGAACAAATTTTTAAAACTCGGGACATACGTGATGAACAGACGAATATAGCTAAATTGACTCAGCTCGTCATGCTAACGAATTGTTTATATGTTTTATGGGATCTTCTCCTTGAGCGGATCCATTTATGTGGATAAAGATCGCATCACGTCAATAGCGCATAACAAGTTCCTGGAATTCGTCAGAGTGCTGGGCCTTTGGAAATACATGCTATCCAGAAGTGGACACAATCGATAGGAGGTAACCGTAAAAACCTCATCTAATTTTTATTCCATTCGGTGGGGGCTTGTACGTTTCCTTCTAGATGTTACAAACTTCATCGCAAACTAAATATATCTTCTTCGGGGTATACAAACTATTTATATTTACAAAAAAGAAAAAAGATTATAATTTTTTATCATAACTAAAAGTTTATTCAATTGAAGTGCTTTTTAAGCCAGCCTAACCGTCTATTGCCGCTGTGCACTCTATACTAACTATGAAAAATCAAAAACTGTTAGATGCATTTCATCGCTCGATCAATCAACTTGTTTGGTTACAGGTCCATTAATAATTTGTGTTTTTTAAACTTGAAGTTCTATTTTTTTCTAACAGTGTGATAATAACGGAATATTAAATGGAAAATGCACAGAATGGTGATAACAAAAATAAAGGTTTGTAAAAAAGTTCGATATGCGTTAATTTCTGCCAGTGAAAAAAATTTAATAAATTACTCAAAGTTCAATTTATTTCAACCTAATTTAATTTTTAATAAATAATAATTAAAACAAATTACGTAATATATTCTATATAAATATTATGGCATTTTCTCTGTATTCCAGTACCGCTCTTTGGCGCACGTCATGTGCAATGTATTCTAATGTTTTTTGGAGTTTCTGCTGCATTCGCGCAACGCGTAAATCTCTCGGTAGCGATAGTAGCAATGATGGATAAGAGTTCCGCAAACCCCGATTTTGAGGTAAGAAAACTTAAAAAAATTATCAAATTTATTCATGACCAAAACTTTTTACCCAAGGATTACCAATGGTCTGAGAAGACCAAATCCTACCTTCTCAGCAGTTTCTTTTGGGGTTACTTTGTGACACAAATACCGGGCAGTCAGTTGGCGCGTAGATTTGGTGGTAAAATAACGTTACTCCTTAGTGTAGTAATAAGTGCACTTTTGGCTTTACTCACGCCGCTGAGCGTACGTTGGGGCGGTTGGCAACTGCTCTTTGGGCTGCGTTTGTGTCAAGGTCTCATACAGGGTAGCACGTTTGCATCTGTACACACACTGCTCTCCAAATGGATACTGGCCGAGGAGCGCAGCTCACTTGGCACCTTCTCCTATAGCGGACTGGCCTTCGGTAGCGTGCTGATGATGTTGGTTAGCGGTTGGATTGCCTCCTCCGCATTAGGTTGGCCGGGTATATTCTATTTTGCTGGCTTATTCAGCATAATATGGGGTTTCGTCTGGTACTTTTATGGCGCTAATACACCTCGTGAGTGCAAATGGATGAGTGAGGCAGAACGTTTGTATATTGAGGGCGCAATGGTGACAACGTCAAAATCGGAGCCTCTCTATGCAACCATGAAGACACCATGGTTGAAGATATTCACGTCTGTGCCTTTCTTGGTTTTATTGCTGGCGCAGTGCGCCTACGCTTGGGGCTTTTGGACAATGATAACAGAAATCCCGTCATATATGAAGAACATACTGAAACAAGATATCCAGAGCAATGCTCTCATGTCCTCAGCACCTTATCTGGCTTATATCTTGCTGACATTCGTATTTTGTGTTATATCGAGCTTTCTGATTAAACGTGGCTACACCAGTTTTAATGTCAGTCGTAAACTGTTCAACACTATCGGATATTGGGTGCCCATAGTACCGCTCATACTGCTCGGCTATATGCGCGCCGATCAGAGTGAGTTGGCGCTGGTTTTGCTGGTGATTGCTGTTGGTGTGAATACAGCCGGAAATTTGGGTTTTCTCATCAATCATATCGATTTATCACCCAATTTTGCTGGTGTCCTTATGGGCATAGCGAATGCCGCGGCAAATGTTATGAGCTTCATTGCCCCACTGACGGTGGGCGTTATTGTCACTGATGCGGTTTGTATAGTTTCTATTTATTATTTAGATAGGAGACTTATGTTTCTTATTAAAATGCCTTCAATTACAGCAAAATGTGGAGCAGTGGCGCATAGTATTTTACATTGCCAGTGGCATGTACTTTGTGGGCAATTTATTGTTCATCTTGTTTGGCGAGACGAAAATCCAGGCCTGGAACTATCCTAAAACGAATGGCCTGCAGCGGAATGAGCGGGATCAAATATGATTGGAAACTTGGCATAGCGAAGACGTAACAAGCTTGGCAATTTTAACAGATTAACGCTATCGTATTTAAAATTCTTTTCTAGATAATACTATAATTGTAATTGTGAGTGTTGAATCGCTCTTATAGCGATATTCAGAAAAGGTTTAAACAATTCAAAAAAAAAAAAAACAAAAAAGAATCAACTTAAGCTAACACTTAGAATAAAGTATGTTAATTAACTGTTAATGCCCATATTATCACATTCTTGTCGACGATAAAAATTATAGTTTTGTATAATGCTGTTTAATGTTTTTGTCATAACTGAGTATTTTCACAGCAGACGTGAACGCATTATCTCGAGCTAGAGCTAAAACTCTATAATAGTCTTATCAATAAGTCACTTTAGACTAGTAAAAGTGTTACCACTTAAGTTGGACTAGATTACTTATGTGTTATTAAAGCGGAAAAATGTGCGATATTAACTATTTACAATTTCAATATAATAATGCATATCTTTAACAAGTCTTGTATATACAGGAACATCATTATTATCTTTCATTAAAGCATAGTACTTATATCAATAATATATAGCAGCTTAACTTAACATACTTGTATAATCGATTGTACATAGGAATATAAACAAGTTCATTTTGGTTTCATAATTTGCCGCCAATTCGAGATACCAAATGCAGTCAGGTGCTTCTCCACCTGATCTCTCCAAGGGTGTGGAGGTCTTTGTCTTCCTCTGCTTTCAACGGTGGGTACTGCGTCAAATACTGTCAGAATAGGGGTGTTTTCATTAATGCCGACGACATGACCTAACCTACGTAGCCTCAAGAGAGCTTGACATTTTTCGCGAGTCCGTTTGAATTATTTTGGATATTTTGGGTATGAAACGCGTTCTCGATAAAGCAGAGAAAATACGGCATATTTCACAGTACTACTACGATAAAGGCAAAAATGCATCTCAAGCCGCCAATAAAATTTGTGCAGTTTATGGACCCGATAAAGTTTCCACTTCTACGGCACAACGATGGTTTCAACGTTTTCGTTCTGGTGTAGAGGTGGTCGAAGATGCGCCACGATCCGGAAGGCCTGTCGTCGAAAATTGCGATAAAATCGCTGAATTGGTCGAAAGAGACCGGCATAGTAGCAGCCGTAGCATCGGTCAAGCGCTGGGCATAAGTTTTAGTTTTTTTTATGAACAATTGAAAATTCAATAAAAATACCGCATGACGTTTTTGACAACCTATTATTATTGAATATTTAAATACTAAATATTCGCCACATTGTATTTCTTATAAAGCGGAAGCTCTTTCTTTCTTGTTGTTAGAAATCGTGGCAAATTTTATATACCCCTTTAAGGGTATAAAAATACGAGTTCTTCCCTTCTCAGAGGCCATCGTAATTTTAGCATATATCTTGGGAGTCCCCTCTCAGAGAAGCATTTAAGTTTATTAGTGATTACGGCGATTTCAGTTTTCGCCGCGGAAATTTTTGAGACATGCATCTTTGTAAATTTTTCAAAATATTCAAAATCTCTCGGAGTGCTAAAGGTTAAGACCACAAACTAAGTATTGGACGAAAAAAAAAAAACAAAAAGTGAAAATTGTAATATTGACATAAGCTTTTTTGTTGTACATAGTGTAAAAAAAAAAAAAAAAAAAAAAAAACATAACTTTGAATAGAAAAAAATCCTTTGTTAAATACCTTGAAGGTTATATCTCGAAATCCTAAAGTCGATTGAGTAATTCGCTAGAAATCTTGCCAACCGAATTTGAAAACGCGTTTGTAATGTTTTAAGTGACTACTTAGCAGACTTCGAGCGACCAATTAGAGCAATTAAAACATAATTCTAAAGATATTATGGAATTAAATACGACAATGTATCTTAAAACATTGTTAACGCCATCCGTATTGAGTTCGATGTTGTCGAATTCTCTGAGTTTTACTTTTATGCCTGAGGAAAAGACTACCGTCTAGAATCCGCAATCGAATTAAATCCATTTTTATAAGTGGATAGTCAATATTACTTTTCGAGGCTTGAACTTTGTTGAATTGCCTAATTTCTCTACATGAATTTAGTTACTGGAAAGAGTTATTATATTACTTTCAAAGAAAGTTCGATTTTATCGTAAGTTTTATTTGTTTAACATTTAGTAGTAAAAATTACATTGAAATCCATATTATTTAAGAGACAAATTAAAATCGTACTTCCTACAAAGACTTCTATATTTTAAACTAAATTAAAAGTATTATGTATATAGTATAGTATAAAAATTAACGGATTCAACGTCGGTTTCTGCGGTATCGGTATGATTGTTTATGTTGTTGCTGTTGATGTTGTGGTTTATGCTCAGGTTGAGATTTGAATTGTTTGGCATGCTGAGAATGTTCATCGCCATCTTCAACGGATGGGTCTGCATCTGAAGAAAGAAAGTTAATTAGTGAATTATAATACCAAAATTTAGGTTAGCATTATAATTACAGTAATATTTATAGTAATCTATAAATATTGTTGATTGTACTTATATAGTAATGTATTTCAAATATAATCATTAAAGCGTAATTACCTTCTACATCACCAAATTTGGAACTCATATTCTGTTGGCTGGATAATGGCTTATGAAATGAGTTGAAGTTTGGGGGAGAGCCTTGAAAAAGAAAGTTAAAAAATATTAGGCTTGATTACATGGATCAAAATATGAAGAAGTTTTATAACTGATTTGTAATTGCATAGAAGTGAAGGGTCATTGCAGATCAATGAACCGCGTTTACACATTAAAAAAGGATGGGCGATTGAAAGGATGAATGAAAAAATATGAAGCGGATAATAATTGTATTATGAATTGGTTTAGATAAATACAAAGCTTACAAAGCAAAAATAGTGTGTGTGGAAATTTTGAATTCAAAATTTTAAATAGCAAACTATTTTTTAAAAGTTCCTAATAAAATAATTTCAAAATTTAGTCAAGCTCTTACTCTAAAGCAAATTCAAACAAGCATTTTAGTGTTACAGAAAATCAGACACACACCGAACGGACTCAGATAGATGTCCTCTGCCGACGATGCCGTATTGAGTGAAGGCGTTGGAGTCGGCGGATCACTACGATCGTGGTCGACAACAAAATCATCACTGGCCGTAAACGAAACTAACGAGGAGATGGAGGATGTGGTGGAGCAGGATGGAGACGAAAGTGTTGAGGAAGATGACAGTGGTTGTTGTGGCGGTGGTGGTGGTGTTGGTGGTTGAGGTAGTACTGGATTATTGGTTGGGATTTCAATTTGTTTATCGGAACAAGCATCATTGGCATCTATTAATTTTCCATCACTGGGATCTTTGGAATCAGGTTTGATTGAATATGTAAAGGGAATAACAAAGACAAAAGCAAAATACTATCGATTAAATACAGCTAAAATATATATTTATAAATATTTATAAAAGTTCTTATAAAAAGTAATGTCATTCGATTGATAATTACTTGCATTGGAAACAACGTTGCTCAATAATTGTGGCGGCAAGTGCGGTTTGGTGTGGGCGGCGCTTTCATGTCCAGGCGTTGCTTTCTTTTGCTCATCGTTGTGACCGTTGGAAAGATTTAGCGATTTTGCATTTTGAGGTTTTGTGACCTCACGTGTTGCCTGTGTTTGTACTGTGTGGGAGAGCGGCACAAAAGAGAGAATTATGCTGGTTTTTTAGGGTGTTTGCAACGAAAAAAAATTTTGCCGAAACCATAAAGCCATTACAAAGTGTGAAAAAATTGTGTAATTTTTGGAAAATTCGAAAAATTTTTTACTTAAACCATCTATGCTAACCGAATTCCAGGAGACCATAGCAACGATATTAAATAAATTCAATCGATTTAAAATCGCATTTGTGCTTATATATTTCGGCATCTGTGCGTATTATTTTATAAAAGACACTTATTTAAATATTTATTTGTATAGGTATCGATTTCAGAACTTTATAAAAAAAAAATTCGATAACAAAAAATTCGATTTTGAGAAAAAAATGTCGATGATCCTTAAAAAATTTGTTTCGATTTCGATAAGAAAATTTTTCGATAAACTTTTCCACTTCGATAAAAAAATTTTGTTTTTGATTAATGTTTGATTCGTTTCGACTAATTCGGTGAGTATATCTATTATGGTTGTTTACGATTCTGTAAAAAGTTACTATCATATTATATTACATTTATTCTATATTTAAAGGTAGCTTTGTAATAAAAAAAGAGCTAATGCTAATGTATCGTAACATAGTAATTAAAAGCGTAAAGGCATAGCTTATTAGTAATTTATTTAATGTCCATTACCGACTACCGCCTCTTCTTCCAGCCCCCCGCTCTTGCCACTTTTACTTTGGCCATTATCCAACGGCGTGTGTGGTGTTTTCGGTGACTTTGTTACCGCTTTATCAATCTCCGATTTAACTGTTTTCCGCTCCTTCTTATCGTTATGATCATTGTTGGGTGTCGAAGTATTTCCCACTTCTTTGGCACTGATCTCTATTATTGGTACTTTTTTTTCCCTTGGTGACTTTTCTTCTGTCGTTTCTGTTTTCTCGGAAAAGCTTTGATCTTTTGGAATCTCATCGCTTGTATCCTGATTTAGAGAAAATAAAATGAATAAGATTTAGAAGAAATCTTCGAGGAAAATATATATTTTCTTTTGTAATAGTAAAAGAGAACAGAGCAGCAGAGTTGATGCCTTAGTGGAGCCACCCTGATATATTAGTGATAAGGGTTTACCGAATTTGATAGTATTCTTCTACAGCACTTTAAGAGAGTAATGTTTCTAGTGAATTAATTTCAAAGTGTTAGATGTGGCACTATGCGATAAAAAAAAATGTTTATTGTTTAAGCTTCGGGCGTAAGGCTGATCCTCGCACCAAAGATGATCTGGATTCCACTTGGGAAGGTGTAAAGGCTACTCCTATGTGATTTCAAACCTATATAACAAGGTGCGTTCCAAATTAAACAGGACTTCAAGAAAAAACAGAAAAAAAAAAAGTTTTTTCGGAAAAATCAATTTATTTTATTCAAAATAGTCTTCTTCTGCTTTACTACAGCTTTTTGCATGATCCAAAAGCATGTCGAACTTGTTTTTTAGCTCGTTGGCCGGTATGACCGCCAGTATGCCGGTGCAAGCCTTTTGAATGGTCACTACGTCTGCATAACGCATCCTTTCATCGGCAAATTCATTTTCCGAAAAGGAAGAAGTCGCACGATGCCATATCATGTGAATACGGGGAGTTGTTAATGATTAAAATGTGATTTTTGATCAAATAATCGGTCACAAATAATAAAAATTTTCTACAGTGTCTAATAAATATCCCAGAAATTTTGGCAGGTTTATCGAAAATCTGTCTTTCAAGATGATTCAACAAATGTAGACAGTTAAGAAGAAATTTCACCTCTCTCTCTTGCGTCCGACAAGATATGTACCCACAACGTACATGAGCCACGCCCACGCGAGCTCTATTATATTTAGATTCAACGTTAGACCACAGCGGAGTACCGATTCGTTTCCAATTGGATGAGATTGG